TTGTTTGAGATTCTGTGACAGGGGAAGTTTCTCTAAAAAAAAAGATAGAAGTACCTACTTAGCGGCCCACGTGCCTAACAACACATACTTAATCTTTCATAACCTAATTACCCTCAACAACATGGGTTTGAACTGTACAAGTCCACTTACGTGAAATTTTCTTCTGCCTCTGCTATCCCTGAGACAGCAAGACCAATGCCTTCTCTTCCTTCTCCTCTTCAGCCTACTCAATGTGAAGATGTAGGCCTTTATGATAATCCACTTCCACTTAAGAGACAAAGTCTTGCTCTAGGCTGGACTGCAGTGTCGTATAATCGTAGCTCACAGCAGTCTCAAACTCCTCAGCTCAAGTGATCCTCTTGACTCAACTTTCTGAGTAGCTGGGACTACAGATGTGCACCAGCACATCCAGTTTTAATTTTTAAATTATTTTGTAGAGATATGATCTTGCTAAGTTGCCCAGGCCAGTCTTAAACTCCTGGCCTTAAGCAATCCTCCCTCTTTAACCTCCCAAAGTACTGGGATTACCGGTGTGAGCCACCATGCCCAGCCCACTTTCATTTAATAAATAGTAAATATATGTTCTCCTCCTTGTTACTTTATTAATCATTTTTCTCTAGCTTCCTTTATTATATAAATACAGTATATACAATACATCAAACATACAAAGTACATGTAATCGACTTTATGTTATTGGAAAGGCTTATGGTGAACAGTAAGCTATTAGTGGTCAAGTTTTGCAGGAATCAAAATTATATGTGAACTTTACTTGGGAGGCTGAGGCAGGCTGAGGCAGAAGAATCGCCTAAGCCCAGGAGTTGGAGGCTGCTGTGAGCTGTGACTCCACTGCACTCTACCAAGGGCAAAAAAGTGAGACTCTATCTCTACAAAAAAAAAAAAATTATACATGGAGGTATAAAAATTATATTGATGGGGGTGGTGGGTGTTGGCACCCCAAGCCCCACATTGTTCAAGGGTCGACTGTATTTAAAAAACCTAATACTTTGGAAAACCTAATTCCACTGTTAAGAAGAAGCTAGATTAATTTAGTATGGACTTCTTTAATTTCTCCTTGTCACATTTTTTTGAACATAACTAGGCAGCAGATGATAATCAGCATGTATAGTTGTGCTGAAATTGAAGACCAAATACCTTAGTTGTTTCAAGAACTCCACATCAGAGTTGCTGTTGATAAGCTTGATGAACTCTTCATAGGACGGCGCATATGTGTAGGCTCTCTTGTGATGTTCATTTATCTGTTCTCTATATTCCAACTGGGCAAGTAGCATTTGGTTAATATAATCTGGATTACTCAGAAACTCCACTACTGGCTTCAAGACTGTGGAAAGGAGAACAAAGTGCCACTGAAAAAGACATTCTTCTGTAAGTATTTTTATATTGCATAACTGAACTACACTCGGGAAATATTTTTCAACTACCCAAAAGGGAAAATTATAAACAAGATATCCAACACTTGGTGCACACAAGGAAGGTTACCAACTACAGCTACAATCAAGAAGTCATTTTAATAAAAATGAGTGATATGTACAGGAAGTCATTTGGAACACAAGTTGTTAACAAAACTATCAAAATTAAGTACACTTATTTCTTTTCTTTCCTTTTTCATTTTTTCTTTTAATAAGGCTCAACACATTTTGACAGTTTAATCCGCAAAAGAAAAATGTCTATGGTCTCCCACCTACTTAAAGTAGACCCCAGGGAGGAGGTTGTTAAAAGTCAGTGTCATGATTGACCAGGCATGGTGGCTCATCACTGTAATCCTAGCACTCTGGAAGGCAAAGGCGGGTGGAACGCCTGAGCTCAAGAGTTCAACACCAGCCTGAGCTACTCTACTAAAAAACAGAAAAACTAGCCAGGCTTAGTGGCAGGTGCCTATAGTCCCAGCTACTCGAGAGGCAGGAGAATTGCTTGAGCCCAAGAATTTGAGGTTGCTGTGAGCTATGATGTCAGGGCACACTACCCAAGGTGATAGAGTGAGACAATCACAAAAAGAAAACAAAAATTGTCACTATTACAGATCCATTCTAGTAACCTTAGATTAAAAACTTCCTCTTTCCTCTGTGGTTATGTCAATAGATGGGCACAGCCGGCTAATCCTGAGATAACAAAGGAGATGGTCAATCACTGCAGCTCAATGCAACACTATTTGTTTGAGATTCTGTGACAGGGGAAGTTTCTCTTAGGTCACATTTTCTACCATTTTCCATATCCTGGCTGTGCCTTGCCATGGATATAGTTAGCTTTACTCCAGTAATCACATTATACATGGCACAGTTCCTTTTTTATTTATTCCAAGTTCATAAACTTATGTATAGTCATGTGCCACATAACAACATTTTGGTCAATGACAACTCAAATGGTTCCATAAAATTATCACGAAGCTGAAAAATTACTATCACCTCAAGATGTCAAGCTGGTATAAATAAACTCACTGTGCTGTCAATTGAATAAAAGTACAGCACTACAATTACATATAGTATATAACACTTGATGAGAATAAATGACTACACTATCAGTTTATGTTCCTATTACATTATACCTTTTATTGTTATTTTAGAGTGTACTCTTTCTACTTATTTTTTTTTAATGAAATGTAAAACAGTCTCAGGCAGGTCCTTCAGGAGGTATTCAAAGAAGTCAGTGTTGTCAAAGGAGGTAACATACCTGTCACTGCCCCTGAAGACCTTCCAGTAGGACGAGATGTGGAGGTGGAGACAGTGATCCTGAGGATCCTGACGCTCTGCAGGCCTAGGCCTGTGTGTGTGTATATGTGTGTGTGTGTGTTTAACAGAAATAGTTTGGAAAGTAAAAAAAAAAAAAAAAATGGAAAAAAGCTTATGGAATAAGAATATAAAGAAAATAGTTTTGTATAACATATTTATATTAAACAAAGGGTTATTACGAGTCAAAAAGTTAAAAGTTGGCTCAGTGCCTGTGGCTCAAATGACTAAGGCGCCAGCCACATACACCTAAGGTGGAGGGTTCGAATCCATCCTGGGCCCGCCAAACAACAATGATGGCTGCAACCAAAAAAAAAA